TACTCAGCAGCACACTAATGCAGCAAAATGATTGCTGCGCTAGTTCATTACAACAAAAGTAAGGGTATTGTGTACTTCACCAGCGCAAATGAGGCATAAAAAAAGTTGCATCTTGGTAGTTACTGTGATCGGATAGGGATAATTATCCTGATTGTAGAAATAGTATTTCCGTCTACGTCATAGATATAGCAGCAGGTGCAGCTGTGTGGACTTCAAGGCCTGGCGAAAAATAATAATTGCTCAGCCTGATGCCGAGGCTGGGTATGGTACTGCTCGTGAAGCCTGTATCGAACGAACAAGTTTGAAGAACGTGCTGAGTTCTCTTAAACTGAGCGTGTATCAACACGCAGAATGGACAAGTAAGCAGCCTCTGTAATGGTAACTAACCCTTCTTACAGTCGATTTACTCGACACATCGATATCTGTTGGCATGACGTTAGCGACTAGGTGGCCAAAAAGACCGTGGAGCTGTGGAAAATCAATACAGATAACAATTCGTCGGACATATGCACCATTTACTCGCGCATATTGTGTCGTGAAAATCATCGAGTGCTGTTGGGACAAACCACGGATCCTTTACCGAAGTTGTGATTTCAAAGAGGGCGTGTTGAAAAGCAATAAACACTTCATCTGAGTTGGTTCATGTCGTTGATATGAAGTGGACGTGATAAAGTAGTGTTTTTCCATAAACCTAGCGCTGCATCCGAGCGCAACGTCTCACCCAAGAATCTAGCGTTTTATTTGCTTGTGACAGCACATTGTATGTCAGTCCAAGCTTTACACTATCTCGAAAACGCTGACGTCTTTCTTTTGATGTTTCTCTAGAATACCGAGGTTACGTCTGCAAATAAAACGTGCTTAAATTGATTGATTAAAGCATCTCGACATTCTTGTTTTCGAATGAATGTCGATTACTTTAGAATTTAAAGGAATAAATTTTAGCTTCTGACAAAAATGTGGAGCACTGATTTTTACAGGCAACCACTGAAGATCATAAATTGACATTTGGTCGTTTTCAATTCAGACTTACTTATCGCAACCACCTACTTGTGTGACACGAAGTTTTAGTAAACAAATTTATTTCTTCGAAATGTTCCTAATGAATCAAGAGAAAATTGAAATAGACTTATCAGACAAATTACGATCCACAGCATTTTGGTCACTCCACGTATCAAAGGTCATGTTTGGTAAACTATCATGATCTAGCCTGCAAGAACTTCCCGCATTACCAAAAAGAATCAGTGTACTCATCTAAGCAATAATACAGTAGTCTTGTTAAACTATAAACATCATTTTAAGAACCTGATTTCCCAGAACTAAATTAACATGTAATTTCTTCAAAGCACATACGAAACGGCTGGGTTCACTATTTATCCGGCTAGGTCATAAGGATTCTTGATCAAAAGTATCTCAAAAATATGCCCAATTTCGTCAGGAGTGGATCCCGAATACTCAATTCTTGATTACTGTTCACTCACTTTCCCGTGCAAAGTATCACAATGCACACGAATTGATACAGCGCCAAATTCTTGACTCATACCTACGTCGTTCACATCGACCACATTATGTCACTTAATAAGGGTGTAATCAGGGTCTGATTGCGCTATTCGCGACACCAGTTTTTTTAGCATACACCTCTCTCGAATCCATCTTCATCTACGGAGCTGTCACTCGCGTGCACTAATCTACGACGCGTCAAGTAAGCGGCCTTGATAATAACCAGTTTGTAAATGACGCCGTCCTTTACCGGCAATCGTTCTCCCAGCATCATTTTCTTTCAACGTATGTTAGATCACCTCTCCTTCGATTCCATCAATTTACCAAATCCGCGCTCAATATTTCGATTTATTGAGTATTTCTTAAGCGGATGGTACGTCTAAATCCGTGGCGTCTGCACAGGTATCGCACTCAGCACTCCATCACCTGGCCATTCGGTTCTTCTAACGTCGTAAGCGCCACAGCAGCTATGTCATGAAAGTACCCTGTTATCTGACTATTAAATGAGCTTAAATGTACGTGCGCACCGGCTTGACTTAGTACTCCATCAATTTAGCTGTACTTGCTTACCAAATATATTTGGTGCAGGCGTCAAGACCTCAATTGGCCTTGATGTTAAAATAGCTCTTCCACAGGATAACATCCATCACTTTTCGCTTGGTAGCATTTCCCCTTTAATATATAGACAAAACACAAATGCCACGTTGCTTTGGATTGGATACATACATACACCGCACTTCTTCTACTGTCTGGTGGCCGCTATTCAGTCCCCACTTACCAGACTTTTTTAGGTACATTCGTTTATCCAGTCCTGAAAGCTGATCCTCCCGATCAATCACAAAAACGACTAAGAGTATGTACGAAACCCATTATACGGTTTCAAATCACCATTTCCCTAAGTACGCTGACAGCCCTTCGTGCTTCATTTCAATGCCCCTATGTCTTGTATGAATTACAGCGAATAGCCCCATGCCACTACCTCAGCTCACAAGCTCTTTTTGAACACAGTCGAAATCAGCATTTGGTGACCATGCACAGCAATAGGCCTGTGTTGATGCAGCGCACATGTATGTGTAGTAATAAGGAATATGGAGCTAGTGCTTTTTTCGGGCTGTTCCCGATTGAACCCCTTATCAAATGTTATGGAGCTCGCGAGCATGTCGTATCTAGCCGCAACAAGGAGTACTTTTCAATCCCAGCTTCAATGCAACAGAAGAGCACCACGCCACCAAAGGGATTCAGCTCACTCTAGGTCATTTGTATCGAAAACTTGTATGCTCGAAAACATGCACGCCCCCAGCATGTGTTTACACGTCATCCTGGTCTGCTAACTTCGTACGTGCTTCGGTTCCTTGTGGCAAGCTGTTTACCATGTCAATGCTGAAGAACCAGAGGAAGACACAACAAAGAAAACACACTTGCACTTTCAGTCGAGCAGGTAACTTCGCTTTGCTTTCAGTCGTTTTGTACGCCTTTCGTTCAGGATATTTCTGCATCTCTTGCCTCGACGGCAATACCTTGACATCAGCACATGCGTGTCGAGCCGTCGTCAAGCAATTCGATCAAACCAAAAGGATTGGGTGCTAAATATCTTGATGATAGCCATTCACCCATACTCAAGGCGGAATCCCTGCTGCTGTATATACTACCAACTGCCTCCCCCCACGACGTACGTATCGCATCGTTACATGACACAATATCATGCCCCCTTACAAAATCCATCAGAGCCTTACCACTGCACCATCGAGATCGCTGAAAGATGGCTGTGGCATCCAAAGCGCGCGCTTATTGCCAAGAATCTACATGCGAGATTCGACTTTTATTACCCGACATGCAAATATCATTGCTGCGCTCGAGGTTTTGAGATGCATTTCAGGGTTGTCAAAAAAGGCCAGATGAACGTTTTTCGAAAATACCTGAGCATATGAACCGCAACAATACACAATAAAAAAACTGCCAGATTAGAACCCAAAAAGACTTCCCAACAAGTCTAGATACGAACTAATATACCGCAAGGTTGAAACAGAACATAGTGTACAAGGCATGAGCACTATATATACATACACGTACGATTGTACACGTGGGCAAGACGCAGAAACATGGATTTTGTCGATGGTATGCATGTAACATCGTCGTAACAATTTAGATTAACATTTAACACTACGCGGATGATTCTTTATTGTGCAGTTATATCGCATCGTTAGTGTTGCACGTAGAGAGTATTACTTGTGCGTACAGTTCGTCTCTTTGTATATTTTCGTATCATTGAATTTGTTGGTGGGGATGAATTTGAGGTATTTGGTACACTTTCTATTCCCCACTCTTTTTGGTATCTTTTTGTGAAGTATGAGTGTATATTATTTACACTCATTCGATTTAATTCTCATTGTGAGATTTCGTGACCAATCAGAAGGCCGCTTTTAAAACGGGCCACGTTTGCGTGAATGGGTCACGATGGTGAATCCAAAGGGGGGTAGCTATGTAAGATATTCCATACATTTTACGAACGTGTCACTTGTACTGCTCAAGTCACACGAAGTTTGACTTTGACCGGGCCTAAGAAGTAAGCCGACTTCGCTGCTTCACCACCTTTTTCACCGTGCAACCGATTGCAATGCAGGGCCAAGCCAAGGAAGGTCGAGCTATTTTGTCCTAATTAGAGTATTGGCCCATATCCAGCACAGAAAGTCGACTTCTCGAAGACGCCTTTCCAAGAAGTGCTTCAATTGAAATATGAACATGCGACCATGAACAACGGCGGGCCGGTAACAAATCGAGAGGTTACGCGATCAGGTCGTCGTATGGGGAGAAAGAGGACTGATACCTGGTACCTTGTAGTCTGTCAATTTCCACAGGGTGCTGAGTAGTCGTTCTGCTTCGAACATCAATAATGGGAGCTCAATAATCGGAACAGGATTGATATCATGGGGCGCGAATCTTGTAATCCACAAGGTAATATATCTTACGTCGGAGCATTCGTCGGTCACCACCACGTATTAGCACGATGTATAGGGATCTTTTGTGTGTAAATGCATCGACGGGCGATAAAAAGGCAAGCGTTTGCTGTCAATTGAGGGTGGTCAAACTGAGTTTGATGTGTTGTCATCTGGTGCAGCATTCGTACATACGAAAATCCTTTTCGCATCAAACATGTTCGTTCATCAGTCGCACTATGTAGGGTACGACGGTACACAGATTTGGAAGCCGTCACATGTAAATGCCGTTATATCATCGTCACGGTTTGTTCGACAGCACGGGACGATTAGCACCGTCAGCGGTATCAATTCTTAGCACCGTCAGCGGTATCAATTCTTAGAAGGTACAGTGCTAATCGTCCCGTGCTGTCGAACAAACCGTGACGATGATATAACGGCATTTACATGTGACGGCTTCCAAATCTGTGTACCGTCGTACCCTACATAGTGCGACTGATGAACGAACATGTTTGATGCGAAAAGGATTTTCGGCTGAAAGCGTAATACATTACAAAATAGAGTGAGTGGCTAACTAAGTGTGTATTTAACATGCGCCCGTTTCTTAGAGTACTTATCACCAAGCTCTTTGTTGCCAGGATATTTGCCTCGCACGTATTCGGGGTCGCTGCCCAGTATCAGATTCCAATTAATCACCGCGGAAGTCTTTAGCTTGCTGACAACCTTTCGTATCCACGCCGATACCGCTTTGGTGTTAGCCCTCTCCTGCTCGTCCTCAGCATGCACGTCGCTCACCCGCAAAAAGCGATGGCGGGTGACATCGTTATCCCCGGTTGAATGAATGTGTCCAGATAGCTGGGTGTCGTCATCCATAGTCTCCGTCCGCACCAATGCTTCGGTAGTGTGGATGTCCACGAATAGAGCCGCAACAGCAAACAGGACACGAACGTGGATGCGCATCAGGGTGTCTTCGTCGATCGTCGAATCGTATGGAAGTCTTGCGGAATGGGGACTGGTGGTGGCAAAATGGAAAGTGAGAAGCTCGACCCGCACACACCTAAACGACATCACTGAAACTCCATGTAGGGGTGAATGCAATGATATGCATCTTCTGATGCACTCGTATCCAGTTTTCTACGCAGACTGCAAACGTCGATATGGACGATGGATTGGACAACTGCCGACGACATCACCCTACATTCAACTTGAAAACTAGAAACTGTGCTATTTGAATCAAGGATTGAAGATCCAGCCGCAACTGTTGGCGGTCTGAAGATTCAACGCGACATGGATGTTGAGGTTCCGTCACTGGGGATCTGGAGCGGCTTATGCAACGGGGCGACGTGAGCCAAATATCCGAATCCGTTGACTAAGGAGTGCGATTATTGTTTTGGCGCACGTCGGATGAGTCCATGATGCAATTGTGGTTCCATGCAGCTGTATCTGTGCCGCTTCGCACTACTAGTAAGCCCGGCTGGGCAGCAGTTTCTTTCGTGCCAATGTTCAGCGTCAATTTCAGCCTGTAGCGAAAGCCGCAGAGATGGTGAGTAGACTTTTGCGGCGGGAATAGATACTTGCAGCTGCAGCTAGAGAACGACACGGTCCAGCGGGAAGCAGACGAACATCAATCGGACAAGCAGACAGACGGATGTGGTCGGACTGCCATTCGTCCGGTTTCCGCCCGTACTATCCCATTCAACTTGTTCGAAGCTGCTGCCGACAGTTGATACCCTGTAGAGGGCAATGTAGGTGCTGGAAAGAGAAGGAGTGGATCCCGGACTTTGGCTTCAGATACAAGCCAATGAGTGACTTGAAGTAGCGCACATCCTTCATGCCCCCAACTTCATGATCCCTACACCGTTTACGGACTTTCTACGATCAACACATCGCCAGTGCACGGTATCGATGTCAGGAGGAGATTCATGACCGTGTATCTACCAGGAGTTGTGGGCAAACAAACGTCTTACAGGTCCTGCCTGAGCCACCGGTTGAAGCAGCTCACCGTGCCTGGCGCCCGTGTAAGCCGAGCCGAGATGGCCCTATGATCTTGAATGAATAAGTCGTGACGGATGTGAAGCCAAACGCCACGTACTGCCGTCGTTGGAGTTCTGTGTTCGCGTATGGGGTGGCAATCGGCTGACGAAGAGCGACGCCGCAGTATTTTAGTGATGGTGGAAGCTGTAGAACTTGGCTCTCTTTGGGGCTCCGCCGCACTTGCTCGGATCTTTTTCACAGATGCACTTGATATATCAAGCTTAATATGAACCCTTATGCGCTTGAAATTGGTCCTTGTAGCATTCATGTCGTCTGAAAAACGGTTTGCCAAGCGCATTAGTAGTCGTTGGAGCATTCGTTCTTACGTTTGTATGTTGATGCATTTCCAGATATTGCTTGCTATGCTCTCTTTGCACTCCTTGCAGACGAGTAGTTTTCTGTAGCTTTTGTCGACCGAGCGGTCGGTATAATCCAGTTTCAGCTGCTTGGTCGTTACGCGATAGTATGTCCGGACTTGATACTGAGTGAGCCCGTTGGCGTGCTTTCAGCCTTGGGAAAGACGTTGATACGCTGCTGTAAATTGTCATCGATCAGGGCCCACCTGCACATCACAGCGCGTAAGCCAAGAGTGTCAAGCTTGATGCATCAGGCATTTGTATGGTCTGCGAGTGCTTGCTCGTGATTGCCCCCCCCCCAAACCCTGGCGTTGTCATCTGGCTCCAGCCCATTCCAATGAAACCGATGAAGTTAAGGATGGGCATGAACACCCAACCCGTGTCGGATGTTGTTCCGAGAGTAGGTGCACTGGCCGCAAACAAGCTCGTTATCGTTAGCATCTCGCCCCAAAGATGCCAATGGATTCCACTAGTTGCTCGTCGAAGCCAATTGGGGATGCTATGGAAAGACCAAGGTTACGATACGTCCCGATACTTCAATTCACGTGGATCCACGTCCGCTCGTAGGATGCCGAAAGAGTGGCGGGTGACACAACGCCAGTTTCATCACAGCTATCGATTCAAGTGCAAGATACTACGTGAGAGAAGCAGACATGTGCAGCTCTTCGGTGCCACATTGACCATTCGATCTCTGTTACAGCAAATGCACATGTTGTAACGGGGTGAACCGTTACATAACAATTTACAAGAAATTGTTAATAGAACATAACTATAAGAGTTATATTCTCAGAATATTGTCATAAGGACAATATTCTGCAGCACTTACGAGTGGTTCCTAATTGGTTGATAAAGGCCATTATATCAACCAACGAAGACGCGCCACGACAGACGCACGCAATGAGTGGTGAGCAGATAGTTGATATGCACATTTGTATTTAGACATAGTTAGATGAGGACAAACAGTGGTTTATTAACAGACATTAACTATGATAAATATAGTTCTACTTTTTACTTTAACCAAGTACTCGCTTCTCCTTACCGTCTTCCTCTGCACGTACCAGTGTACGTGAGGTTACGCGGCACCGCCTCATTCTGTCATCAAAAAAGGTAGCTTGTACTGTCATCAGTACAAGCTTCAGGGTGCCCCGTTACACCTGGTAGCACTTCGTAGTCCGTCCAAGGACCACGTTCACATCTTACATGAATATGTTGGATGATGAAGATGACCAAAGCTTTCACGCTACGCGTGACGGCTACTCCCATTTGAGCGATGTCGAATGGGTTGCGGTTGAACGGATGGATTCAACCATGGGCATCCGTGCTGTTAGCGTCGTGCTAGAGGCTCTCAAAAGAGATGCCCAACATGCTACTATCGCCAAGTTCATTCAAAATGAACTTGACGCTGAACGAGAGAAAGTAGCCTTGCTTCACCAACAAGATTCTCAACAAGCAGAGTTGTTGAGAGAACAGGGTGCTCAACAGTTTGAACTGTTAAGACAGCAGCAGGCTGCTGCTGGCGGGTCGATGCACTCGCGTCGACCCGAAACCTTGAAGATTGACATCTCCAAGTATAGGGGCGTCGAAGAAGACTCCCTCTTGAGATGGTTCGTCGAATTGGATGACGCCATAAGGGCGCGTCGAATTGACGACGGGGAAAAGCAAGTTGCATTTGCCCAGTCAAATCTGGCAGGACGTGCCAAGACTTGGGCACTGGGGCTCAAGTTGCACGACTTATATGCGTTTGGGTAATTAGAAGTCTTCAAGTCGCGGCTCAGACAAACGTTTGAACCACCTAGAGCTGAGTTCAGAGCTCGAACTGAGCTCTTGAAGCTCAAACAGGGTAAGCGTGATTTGCACGCTTACGCTCAACATATACGACATCTCACGAGTTGTATAAGTTCCAATCCGGTAGATGAACACACGTTGGTTTCGGTGTTCATGAAGGGTATTGCGGATGGTCCCGTCAAGACTCACCTGTTCCGACTTGAACTGGATTCACTAGAACAAGCCATTTCCATTGCGGAACAGGAAGACTTCAGTCTGAGACAGGCTCGCGGCAGCTCGACATCATATCGTACACCAAGACGATATGACAAAGAAGGTCCAATGCCGGTGGAACTCTGTTATGTAGAGAGCGAGAAGGCTCGCTCTACAGACTACAAGAAGTTGCAGAAATGCAGCAGATGTCAAAAGACAGGACACTACGCTTACGAGTGTAGTGCCCCTCGTCCAGTGTCTCTCAACGCTGGGCGTAATGACCGTCCACCCATGAGAAAGGGGCAGAGACGCGGGTCCGCTGTTGGTGCAAAAGACGCAACAACGGGATGGACCGTCAAAAAACGGACAGGATCAGTAGGTGCGGAGCACCCTACTGGTCTAGCAACGTCAAGAGAATTTGCAGGCCTCTTGACGAAGGTTGCTCCCAACACACAATCATTGTGCGTTGCTGCGCTAGGTAATGAGATCTCACTCATTACCTTGAAACTCAAAGTGACGAATAAGTTGTCCCTTCGAGCTCTAGTCGATTGTGGGGCGTCCAACAATTTTGTGCAACGCCAATCGCTAGAAGATGGTCACTCTAAGCTTGTTATGTGTGACACACCTCCTACGAGGATGAAGGTACGTCTTGCGACAGGCGCATCCGTAACCGTCATGAAGCGTATAGTGAAGATCCACTATACGCTAGAAGATACCCAATATGACGATGACTTTATCGTATTGGATTTGGATGACAAATTTGATGTCATCCTTGGAATACCGTGGCTCAGAAGGTACGAACCACGAGTAAACTGGCAACATCGGACAGTAACGATGCCTGCCGCTTGTTCATCAGATGGCCATCTGATGAACGTTTTGGAGCGTCCACAAGCGTGTGGATGTACTACGAGTGAGTGCGATGGCCTCACTTGTGGTACGGTCGTTATTATGACTGCACAAAACCTTAGTGTACCAAACGGTTACATTTCGGAGCAAAGTTCCGGCGGCTGTGAGGAAACACAGGCTGCGCTGAAGGTCTACCACTCGAATAAGTCGGGTGGACTGGGACAAAGATGTATCCCTAGCGGGGAACATCTAGAAGAGAAACAATCGATCGCTCAGGTTAAGCGAAACGATAATCCTAGATCGACTGGAGAGTCTTTCGTAGAGGATCTCGCTGTGGTTGCGCAACCCCAGCTAGAGGAAGTAAAGGGAATAAGTCCCAAGATTACAAATACGGCGGAAATAAGTTCCCCGAAACCCGAGGGAATAAGTCCCCGGGAAGCCGAAGGAATCAGTTCTTCGAGGCCTGAGGGAGTAAGTCCCCAGGAAATGACAGAGACATTGAATGTCCTGGTCAATGATGGATCAAGTGTAGGCGCTTATACACTTGATCTGCTTGCGCCTCCGAAGTTGACTTCAGAGATCACTCAGTTGCCAACGCTCGAACATAAAAGGTTCTTGCGTGATCTGCGTAGTGGCAAAGTCAAGCAGATCTGCGTACTCGTCGCCGACGACGAGTGTGTAGCCGACATAAGGTCAGCAACAGTGTTTACTGAGAACGAGAGAGTTCTCAGTAGTTCATCTATGGAC